CGTATCCTCTCGTTCGACCTCGCGCCCTTCGAAACGACGTTTATCATAGATAAATATATATATATATATATATATGTATGTATATAATATATATAAATACTGTACGTACATTTACAACGCTAACGCTTTTCTCTCTGCTCTATAATTTAAAATATCTCTGGACTTAAATGGCTAATTTCGTCAAGGCACTGTTTACAGTTCTGTTCGAGCGCGCTCGATCTTTCTTTCTTTTTCTCACGTCGTCTCCTCTTGTCCACGAAAGAGAAAAAAATTCATCACGCGTCCTCGATCTTTTCTGTTACGTTAAACGAGCCGTCTACAACATCAGCTCCGTCGTCGTCGTCGTCTCGACGCGAATAAATAGAACACGAATTACAAATGGTTCGTCGCGAGAAAACTCGAGGACGACTTTCGCGAACTCGAGGATGAAACAACGCGATCGCGTTTCATGGTCGCTCGAACAATTGGATCTCTGTGTTTTCTTTATTCTTTGTTCTTTCTCTTCCGCGAGATGGAAAAGCAAGGACGATTGAACGCGTCCGTTCGATCGAGCCGAATGGAAATTAATGCTCGCTCGGCTGTCTCTCGCGGAACAGCCGCGAGTTCTTTTCACCGAGAACACACGTCTGTGTGACTTTTACTGGCTAAAGGAGAGCGCTAAACTCGCTCTCCGGTACAGTGTGACAACCCGGTGTATATAACCTTTAGAAACATTTGTGCGGATTCGTTACGGCGGTATACAAAGAGACAGCGTGATTTGTACGAGCGGAAGAAACGTTCGTCGCGCGGACAGTGAAACCGTGCACGTTCGACGTGACAGAGATCACCTGTCGCGAGACTGAACGTTATAGTAAAAAAGAAGAAACGGCTCGCCTTCGCTTCTTCCTCCTCCTCGAGGAAGAAGAACAGTTTGAAACTTTCTGGATCTCTATCCGCCATCGTTGGAAGTCGTTACTTCTCGTTTCCTTAACATTACGAATATATCTCGTGTTAAAATGGTTTCCTCTAAAATCCTCACGGTTAGAATCTGCGTGTAGCGCAAGAGGCGACGAGGACCTCGTGGCAGTCGACTGATATTGATCGAGAGATTTACACCTGGTCGAGAAGAGGCTTGTTTAAAATCGTTCGACTCGAAAGAGTAGTATTACATTTTTTTTCCTGCTTCCAAGTCGTCGTTCGTGTTCTTCTCGACCGGTGAAAAGACGGCGAAAGAGGAAGTTTCACTTGAAGAGGGGTTCCTCGACGAGAGAGAGAAAGAATCCTCGTCGAATCTTCTCCTTTTTCGCGAGAAAAATTGAAAAGAGAGAGAGAGAGA